GGCCGGGCTGCAAGAGGGGGGGGGCTTGCTGTTTGGGGAGGGGGCCCGGGAGCAGGCAGGGAGGGTGGGGACACCCCAGACCCTCCCTCAGAGATCAGGTGCCTGGTGGGAAGGGGCCGGCCTGGTGGGCGGCCGCACGGGGCAGAGATCAGGACCCTGGGCTCCCAGTGGCAAAGTTTTACAGGATTTGGACTTTTTGCAAATTGTACAAAATTTAAAATTTTTGCACAGAACTGTGAAATCTGTAAAACTGGGGGCTGGGCGAGATAAGTCCTCGGTGCCCACGAAGTCCATCTGAGGCCCCGAGACCAGCGTGGGCAGAAAAGTCTCCGTCCGGGCAGCCCTCTCTTCCTCACGCCTCAAATCCTTGTCTGTAAATGAGTTTCTCAGAGTGTCTAACAGGTGTCAGTTGTGGGATGTGAAATAATACTGAAGTGAACTTATTTAAGGCTAAATACAATTGTAGTTCAATGTTTATTTTTGAGAGAGAGAGAGAGAGAGCGCGCGCGCGAGCAGGGGAGGGGCCGAGAGAGATGGAGACACATGATCCAAAGCAGGGGCTCCAGGTTCTGAGCTGTCAGCACAGAGCCCGACGCGGGTCGTGAACTCACACACCGTGAGATCACGACCTGAGCTGAAGTCGGCGTTTCACTGACTGAGCCCCCCAGGCGCCCCCGGTACAACTGTAATCCAAAGTGACGTGTTTATTGGAACACATATTAGGAAAAAAATGTATCAAGAATACCCAATGTGTTATTGCCATGTGTTTCTTAGGAAAAACTAAATATAGTTTTTAAAGGATTGGTTTTAAGGAAAAGATTAAAGTGAATACCACTACCGGAGCTGTGTAGAATGTAGACGGGACCAGAATGAACACAGATGCAAAGTTTGGAAACTCTGCTCTCAGACCCTGTCTGGGTCCAGTCTGGCTCTGGGGCCCAGAACTCAAGACGCAATCCAAGCCCCGGGAGAGGTGGGGGAACCCTGGGGGCGTGAGGGGCTATCTGTTTTGGGGGGAGACCCCTTCAGGCTCTTCTGGAGGAGCTGAGAGAGGTGTGCTCCTGTTGTCCAAGGTCACTGAAGGGGCCAGCCTCACCTTCCCTCCCAGGCACCGCCCTGGGCAACCTGGGTTTCCTTCACCCTCCACCGAGAGACGTTTGCCCTGGGCCAGCTCCTGGCTGGTGGCTGAGCCTGAAGCCACGGGGTGATGTCCCCTGGCCCCCAGGGGTGGCCCTCAGCACCACCTCCACCCTCCTCGGTCTCCAGGGAAGGCCTTTATAACCTCTTCAGACCCACACTCTCTGTCAGTCGTGATGCTCAGAGCTTGTGTGTGTGTGCACGCACACATGTGTATGTGCATATGTGTGTGTGAGTGTCGGGCCAGGGTCTGCTGGAGTCCTGTGGGTAAGGGCCTCTGTGTGTGTGCGCACGCACGCATGTGTATGTACATATGTGCGCACGTGTGTGTGCATCCGAGCATGTGTGTGTGCATGTGTGTGTATGCATTTATGTGCACGTGCTGAGGGAGGGTCTTTTGAAAGCCGCTGGCCAGGAGCTCATTCAGGCTGTGGGTCCCCGCCCGGCCGCTCTGTGGTGCTGTGACCTTGAGCTGGGCCCGTACTATCCCCAAGCGTCTTGTATAAAACGTGCACCTCCGACTTGGCCCCAGGGTAGCTGAGGAGAAGCCCTGGAGGAACGTATGGACGTAGGGTACCTGGCGCATCCGACGTGCTTAGGGAACTTGGCCGTTGTCACCGGCGTCGCTGCAGGGACAGGGGGTGTCGAGAACGGCCACCCCGGGGGCAGCCCCCCCAGTAGGGACGATGCACAAACAGGGGCAGCGTTGGGCACTCTCAACTCCTTAAGGAGACTCCCTTTGGGGGCCCAGGCCCAGGTTGGTCTCTGACCCAGGCCACCAACATGTATTTGCCTAAATCCTGGGGGCCTGGCCCCTGCCTTCCATCAGCAAATGGTCACATGGTTATTTAATCTCCCCTGTGCATGTGCCAGGGAGCGCCAGGGTGAGGACTGAATGGCCTCGGCTGCGGAGACTCCTGGCCGTGTGGGTTGGGTCGGCATGGGCTTCTCTGGGGGGCTCCAGAGCTGAGCCATGAGGAGCACTGAGGGGCACAGGAGGAGGAGGGACACGTCCTGGCAGAAGGCTCCAGACAGGAGGAGGCAGGAGGGGCACAGCCCATTAGAGGAGCTGGAGGTCTGGAGCCTGGGGGGGGGGGGGGGGGGGGGGGGGGGGGGGGGGGGGGGGGGAAGCTGCGCGCGCACGTGTGTGTGTGCGCGCGCGCGCGTGCGCATGAGGGGTCCTGGGCTTCAAATGCTTCGGCTCTAAGGGCCATGAGGAGTCATGGAATGTTTAACAGGGTTGGAAGGAGGGACGTGCAAACAGATTTGTGTTTTACAAGCTCACTAGGGCTTCTGGGAGGAGGGGAGGGGTCCTGGCCAGGGTGAAGGCAAAGGAGAAGGGGGTGCATAGCATTCAGGATGGTGCCAGGGGCCCGGAGGGTGCAGGTTGCTCTGGTGGCTGGTGCTCTGCAGACTTGATGACAGGTGCTCTGCAAATGTTTGGTGAGTGGATGATGGCTGGGGATTGCCACAAGCAGGGGATGGGAGGGAGAGTGAAGATCCTGATTCAGACATGTGTGTGCACAGCCCTGGGAGCCTTGCTCACACCTTTAAGTGGCCTCTGTCCACCACAGTCTCCCCGTGGTACCTCTGCTGTGCAAAAGAGAGAAGGTTCAGGGTGTGCAGGGCTGGGGCCCCACCTCGCCCCTCCGTGCCATGGAGCAAAGAACAAAGGGTCTGCCTTGAAGTTCAAGGTCAGTCCAGAGCAAACAGGGAATCCGAGAAGAGGCAGTAACTGCGTGGAGTTCATTCCCTTCCAAGCATGTATAATCCATGTATAATCAAAAAGGCTTCAATTGGTCAGGGCTGGCACGCCTCTCAAGGCCTCTCAACATGGTTTCTGGAAGCTTCTATGTATTGCCGTTTATATGTTTATATTGATGCATTTAATCATCACAAAAACTCTGCAAGGTGCGTAGGACTATCCACAGTTAACTGATGAGAAAACGGAGGCTCAGAGATTTGTAACGTAATTAGAGCTAGTGGCTGGACTGAGGCTGGATCCAGGTTGGTGTGGGTCCCCCAGAACTCGTGCCTGTAACCGCGTTCCCTCCCACCTCCTCGATGGCGGGGATGGGGCCTGGGGCCCCGGGGAACAGAGGCAGCCCATGCCGGCCTGTGATGATTTGAAGACAAATGTCCCGGAACCTGATTCTGAGTAATATCCCACATGAGGCACGGCTGTCTTCTGGCTCATGAGGACCGTCACCTGCCTGTGACTGAGCCAAGGCTCGGGCATTTCAGGGCTGGTGGAGGAAAAGAAACCTGAGGCTGGGGGTGAGGGGGTCAGTGCTGGTGCAGAGCCCACTCCCTCAAAACAAGCCAGCTCTTAGGAAATGAAAGGGAGCCATTGAAGACACATTTCCTTCTGCAAGTTTACTTTCTGCCTTAAAAAAAAAAAAAAAAAAAACCTTTTGCAAGCGAGTACGGCCACCGTGAGAGGACACAGTGGGTGCTTTCCAGGAGCCTGGGCACAGGTGGGACAAAGGCACAGGCTTCTAAGAGATCTAGGACAGGGACCCTAAACTCCTTCTCTGGCCCATGATCCCCGCCTGTGAGGAGAGCCGGCTCAACAGGCTCACGACCGTGACCCCCCCACCCGTGGCTGCTGTGGCCTGGTGGCTCTTGGGGCCTGGTACGGACTTAAGAAATGGGAGGCTGCTCCAGCCGCTGCCCCAGTTCCCTGGGAGTTTGATGAGCTCAGGGCCCCGGGCAGGAGATGGCCTGGTAGGCAGGTGGTACCCTAATTTGTGACTTTTTCAATGAAACGAACAGAAGAGAGAAATGAAATGAACAGGAGAATTGGCAAAATCACATGCCTCTTCACCCCCTCCCAGAGGGGCCCCAGATTTGCTCATCGCTAACATGAGATGATGCATTTTGGCAGAGGAGTGCCTCTCTTTATAGCGATAAGTTCTGCCTAAGGAAATTCACCGTCTTAACCATTTTTGAGTTCAGTGGCGTTCAGTACATGCGCATCATTGTCTGTTTCCGGAACCTTTCCATCCTCTCCACCTGGAGCTCTGCACCCATGCACCATTGACTCCCCACCCCCACTGCCCTGGCATCCACTGCTCCACTTTCTGTGCCCGTGAATTTGGTGGCCCAGGGAGACCTCCTACATGCAGAATCCTACAGTATCTATCCTTTTGTGTCTGACTTATTTTACGCAGCACGGTGTCTTCAGGGTTCACCTGTGCTGTAGCATATTGCAAAGTTTCCTTCCTTTCTGAGGCCGAAGAATATTCCATGGTGTGGAGAGACGCCGTTTTGTTTACCCGTTGCCCCGTGAACGGGCGCTTGGGTTTCTTCCATCTTTGGGCCACGGCAAACAATGCTACTGTGAACCAGAATGCATTGTCCAAAGTCGTGGGTTCTGGAGAGGGCCGCTGGCTTACTCAGTTGTGCAGAATTCTGGGTGCAGCACGTCCTGACCTTTGGTATCATAGGTGCTCAGGCGGAAGCAACCCTGGATGGAGTCTGGCCGCCTGGGTCCCAGGCCTTGCTGTTTGGGAAAAAAATCCACCCCTTGCCTTCACTTTATCGGATGGATATGACTGTTGATGAGTGTCTAAGGGATGGGGTCCCCAGCTGCTGCTGCCGGTGCCGCCAGCCATGCCCCACGGTAGCATGTGTCCCCGGAGTAATTTGGGACAGGTTGACCTCCTCTTCTGCCTGAGAGCTATTGTCATAGTAACAGTTGCAGTGACCGATTTGAGATGGTGCCGGAGAACAGGATGTGGCTTTGACGGGGGCTGTGTCTGGGGGAGCCCAGACGTGACGGTGGATGTCTGGCCCCCTCCCCCGGGAGGTAAGCAGCCTGGTGCGTGGCTGACTGAGTAAACTGGCCTTCCCGTCCTCAGGTCCAGCTGGGAGCTCCCGGACCTCCAGGAGGGCAAGATCGAGGCCATCAGCGACTCAGACGGAGTGAACTACCCCTGGTACGGCAACACCACGGAGACGTGCACCATCGTGGGCCCCACCAAGAGAGACTCCAAGTTCATCATCAGTATGAACGACAACTTCTACCCCAGCGTCACGTGGGCCGTGCCCGTCAGTGAGAGCAACGTGGCCAAACTGACCAACATCTACCGGGACCAGAGCTTCACCACGTGGCTGGTGGCCACCAATACCTCGACCAATGACATGATCATTTTGCAGACGCTGCACTGGCGGATGCAGCTGAGCATCGAGGTGAACCCCAACCGGCCGCTGGGCCAGCGCGCCAGGCTGCGGGAGCCCATCGCCCAGGACCAGCCCAAGATCCTGAGCAAGAATGAGCCAATACCGCCCAGCGCCCTGGTCAAGCCCAATGCCAACGACGCTCAGGTCCTCATGTGGCGGCCCAAGTACGGGCAGCCCCTCGTGGTGATCCCGCCCAAACACCGGTAACGGCCAGGGCACCCCGCTAGGCTAGACTCGAATAATAACACTGCTCCAACCCACACCCACATAGACTCTCAGTCATTCAGCAAAATACAACCACTCTACCTTCTCGAGCGGGCGGATCTCACTGTGCAAATGCCCCGGGGTGGCCTCCCCCAGCCCCCTTGGCACCTGCTTCCTTTCGGGGAGGGGGAGGCCCGGCAGGGACGCCTGGCGCCCACGTGCCCCTTCACCTTGGACCTCCTTCCCTGGCAATTTCAGTCATTCACTTGCAAGCCTCCCCGAAACAACAGCTTTTTCAGTTCTTCTTCTTTTTCTTCTTTTTTTTAAACACCTCTTTACGAGGTTCAGGGGTGGGAGGAGGCGGAGCTGGTCGTGACCCTGACCGGCACTGCTGCTGATCTGTGAGTGGCGGTCCCCCCCCCCCCCATGGCAGCTCCCCTCCTCCTCCGTCACGCGGCCTTACGTAGACTCGCTTTGCCAAACTTCTGCCTTAAGCTGAATTTAAAGGAAAAAAAGCCCAAAACAAAGGAAGCCCAATCTCTTTTCTACCGGACTGTTCACCTTCCGCTGGAGGTGAGGGAGGGGGTCGGGCCAGGGCAGAGAGAGAGAGGGCACCTGGACCCTCCTCCCCGGGCGGCTTGGAAGAGGGACAGGGGGACAGATTTAGACCTAAAACCAGCTGCTCGTTCTTTCGTTTCAGCAGAAACGAAACCAGACAGGCCACCTAACGAGCCCCCTTCTCCCGGGCTCAGGTGGAAACCGCTGTGCCCTGCCCCCCATCCCACCCCATGCCTGCGGAGAAGGTATCTCTGCTTCTCTCCTCTCTCTTCTCGGCAGCCTTAACTTGCCTGGGGTGGATCTCGGAGGAGAGAGGGAGGGTTGAGCCCAAGGCGTTTTCCCCATCTCAGTCCTCAGCACCCAGCCACAGATGGGTCTGCCCTTTCCTTTTCCATCCACACTGGTCCCAAACGCCTGGAGGGCCAGCCACCTTGAGCCAGATTTAGTTCCAAGGTAAGAAAGGTAACTTCCCTTCTGGCTCCTTCTCGAGGGATGCCCCTCCTGGGCGCTCAGGGGGAAGCTGCCGACGGGCTCTGGGCGCCAGTGTCGGAGGCTGGGGGGGAAGCTGCCTGGGGGGAGGCGGGATATGTGGTCCTGGATCTGGGGAGGCTGGGGAGGCCTTCGGCAGACACCCCTCTGCTGCTGATCCTCAAGGAAGCAAAGCGGGGCCTCGGGCTGGCGCCCAGGCGCCGCGTAGGGCCATGGTTGACGGGCGTCGGGGCCACCCCGTGGGCTGGTCGGGGCAGCGTGGCCAGTCTGGAGGGCCGCCTTCCCTCAGGTCCAGGGCCCTCGGGAGCCCTAGGATGGCCCTGAGCAACGCCAAGCTTTCTGCCTTGAAGGCTGCTTGTGGGAGCCTTGGGGGACGCCCCACAGAAGCCCCCTTCCTCAAGCTTGCCAAACCCCTCAGCCACCTCACCCGGCCCTGGGTTTCCAACTGAGAATACCCGAGCACAGAAAACCATCAGAAAAGAAAAAGAGTTCATTTCTGCTGCTGATGAGCCATTCGGACGAGCCCCAGGGACAGTGTGGGGGGACGTGGGTCACCGTGCTCTGCTCCCTTATGCACGCGGTGGCACACTCATTCAAGGGGTGCTTCACGTCCAAACTATCTCCCAAGCCCCGCTGCTGACAGCTGACAGCCGCCCTGGGGCCCCTTTGTCAGGCCCAGGACCTTCCCTCTGTTCCCCTTGGTGTGGACGGAGACCCAGTGGCCCAGGGAGGCCATAGCCTCGAGGGAGGGGGCTGAGGGGTCCCAGCTCTAACTCTGGGGAAGGGCCGGGTGGGGGGGCGCGGGGGCCAGGGTGACGGCGTCCTGATGCCGTGGACAGGACCTGGCCTAACGGAGCGGCCCTTCTCTGCACTCAGGTCTTTCTTGCACTAAAAAAGGAGGAAGGGCCCTGGGCGAGGGGTCAGGAAGCCGGAGTTCCGGCTCTGGGCTGGGTCACCACGAAGAGGGTCTTACAGTGCTAGGGGGCGGCGGCAGGAGAGAAAGGTAAGGGGTGGCCCTGGGCCACTGGGGACAGTGTCCCCCAAACACACACATCGTGAGCATCAGCAAGCCCTCTTGCCAGAGGCCAGCACCGTGCCCACTAGGAGAGGGCCTCCCCCCACCCCCGCCCACCGCATGCCTGGGCCCCCGCTCACCTTACACCCTGCCCCTCCCGCACCCCTATCTCTCTGCCCCTCCTGGCCTGTCTGAAGACGGGGCCGGAAAGACCCTGAGAAGCTGCAGGTCCGGCCAAGTTCACCGAGCTTAGCTTGGGTCTGGTCCCTGGACCTCCTCCCCGTCAGGAGCACAGACCCCAGGCTTCTCACCTGGGTCCCCAATTCCTCCGTGTCCCCCTTTCCTGGCGTGGACACACTCCTCCAGCAATAAGGACCACCCATGGTCGTGGAGAGTACTGTGAAAACAAACCAATGCACTTACCAGGAGGCACAAGACTCTTGAAGAACATGTAATAGCAACCTTTTTAAAAAGCGACAAATATTCACAAAGAGAAATAAAATGTAATTTTAAAGTAGGCCTGGCTAGGATCTGGATGTTTCTGCAGTGCTGGTTCATTTTGGGGTCGACGGCCCTGTACTGTGGCCACGGGAGTGAGAGTATTTGGGGGTGGGCCACTTTGTGGACGTGTCCTCTGCTGTCTGCAGCCCTGGGGCATCACGGCCTGGCCCAAAGTGCCCCTGGCTGTGCCCCGTGATGAGGAGGCTTGGGCTGGAAGCAGGACTTGGGGGCAGCCTGGCTTTCTGGAAAACAGAAGAAGCCCCCGTGACAAGGGGAGTTCGTGTTCAGATGGGCCCCTTTCCCCTGGACCTTGCAGAGCTGCCTTCCCGCGGAGAAGCAGGGGCATCAGCACAGCGTGGGGCTAGGATGTGGCCCCGTGCCCTGCCCTGGGCCGACAGGTGATGAAAGGGGGTTGCGTGGGGTCCAAGCCAACAGAGTAAAAACTTTCTTTTCCTGCGAACTTTCTTATGAAGGGATGGGAGGTGGGTGAGCCCAGAGGTCCTGGAGTGGGCGTGGGCTCTGAAGGCGGACCAGGGGTCCCAGGTAACTCGCACGAGTTTGGGTCAGACACCAAGCCTCTCCGAGCCCCACTTACCTTGTTTGGAAAGTGGGGATTCTCTGGGTAGCTGCCTCCCAGGTGAAGCGGTGAAAACACGGGTTCCACTCAGTTTCCAGGCGTTAGCTCACTGAGTCCTCACAGACACCGGTTATTGGGATCCCCATTCTACAGATGGGGAAACTGAAGGACAGAGGAGTCGAGAAGCTGCCCAAGGCCATGCATCTGGGAAGAGGCAGAGGTGGGAGTTTGAACCATGGTCCTGGAGCCCAAACCCTGACCGCTGCCTACTCTCAATCTTGGCGTGTTGCTGCGGAGCATACAGTTGGTGCTCACTAAGTATCAGTGACTCTTAAGAAGGGCCCGTGCCTTTGGCTCACTCCATCCTGGGCTCCCCCGGCAGGAAATGCGTGTCTCCTCCCACAGGAAGGGTCTGTGCAGCAGTCAGTTCCCTGATGCCCACAGTGAATCGGGCCTGGGGCTACCCGGTCAGCTGCAGGCCACAGGCTCCCCCCTACCCCAGGGGTCTCGGCCCTGCCCCGAGGGCAAGCGCCCGCCCCCACCCCCCCATTCCCCTGGGCATCAGGATTCCGCTTCTCCTCTGGGTTTTCCACATCGCAGCAACCCAACGGCCTTCTGCATCCTGTCTCCTGGGTCTGAGACACCAAAGCAGGAAATTGCATAACAGGACCCTTTGGCCGCCCTCCACCCAGATGGCCTATGGGTGGTACAAGTTCACTGTCGTGGTTTGGCTTTCGGTTGTGGAGTCGGCTCCTGAGCTCTGCCTCTGAGAGAGCATGGTGTGTGTGTGTGTGTGTGTGTGTGTGTGTGTGTGTGTGTACACGTGCATGTGTGAACAGAGAACGGGGGTGCAGGCCTAGCCCGCGGTGGGAGAAGGCCGAGCTGGATCACATCAGGATAGAGGGCTGCTCTATTGTTTGAACCTCCAGGCCGACACGCAGGGGAGGGTGCTCGGCCCGCGGCCCACACTGGGGTAACCTTCGGGGGAGGGGAGGAGGGTGGCCATGAGTATAGCGGATTCCAAGCGGCGTTTTAGTCCCACAGTGGAAGCCCTCCCGCCTCTGAGGCTGATAGCAGGTTAAATTTAGAAGTCCCAGACTGGGATGAGACACACACCAGACTCGAGCCAGCTGTCGCAAGGTCCCCTCCAGGAGCGGGGCCTGGGGCGAGCCGGCTGTCTGGGCTGGGTCAGGCCCACCTGCCCCCGGAGATGCCTGGGGGAAGCAGCCACAGCAAGACCCCAAGCACAGCCTGGCCGTCACCTCTGGCCCCTTCTGGGACCAGCCCAACCTCTGGACTCCGGCTCCCTGTCACGGCTTCAGTCCGCAGAGGAAACACCGCTTGCTGTGGTCCGAGAGGGACACGGCTTCATGGGAACCGCAGGGGCGATGGCTGCTGGCGCTGTCAGGCCCCTGGACCTTGCTATTGGCCCACACGTGCTTTCTCACCTCTGGCTTGATTTGCCTCTTGGTCACCTTCTGTCCTGCCTGGCTGGCCCCCAGACACTGTTTCCCCTCTGGCTGGGGTCCGGGCATTGGATCAAGGCAAATACTGGAGGAAGCAACAGGTTATACACTATCCAAAATGGCCCGCACAAGTCCCCATCGCGCACATCCAGAGTGCGCACTTCAGGGCTGGAGGGCCCTCGAGGTGCCTGTCACTGCCAAGCACACACAGTATAAAAGGCGAACTTTGACAGAGGAGGAAACTGGCCCTCAGAGAGGGCTGCGGGACGTGCTAGAGGTCACTCGGCTGGGAAGCTGCAGAACTTGGGCGGGTTTCAAACCGACGTCTTTCGCCCTCACTCTGGCCCTGCTTTCCCGGCCATAGCACCCCCTTCCCACACTCCGGTTCCACCCTGAGCCATTCCTCTGCCAGCCGTAGTGCCAGAGACCCCACGCGTGGTGAACGCGTCAGCAGCGGCCCCGTGGACCCTGGAAGATGAAAATTATTAAATGCAAGAGAACACATCCGAGTGAATGAGCTCCGTCTCGGTGCTTGTATCCGAGTCACCAACCTGAGCGACTGATAAGGGCCTGGCAGAAGCCTGTCCTGCTGCTGCTGTCCAGGCAGACTGGAAGGCAGAGACGGGATTAGTGCCTCCACCGGCCTGAGCCCAACTTAGGTCTGGGTGCCGCTGCCCTCCTTCATATTTTATGGTC